TGTGTGTGTGTGTGTGTGTGTGTGTGTGTGTGTGTGTGTGTGATACATAACAAAGAGATGACAAGCTTATCTGAGTAATTACATTGCAGAAAAAAACTCCCAGTCATGGTACAGCACAATTGATCCATAACCATTTTTCATAACCATTGTATTGCGGTTTTCCTAATGGCTACAAACAGGCATATTGCCAACACCACCAATCATACTTTAGGACTTTTGAGCATAGATTGTTTATGATGCCTGGAATGAATGAAGTCAACAGATGGTAACATCAGCTGACTTGTACTACAAGACACAAATTGCTCAAAGGCACTTCTCCAGTGAATAGAGTTATACTGCTATGGAATTACTGTATGGTCAGTGTGTTGAAATGATAGCTCTAATAAGTACTAGCAAATTTTATAGATAATTACTCTTCAGTATTTAGAATGTTGTTTATTTTATGCTGCAGCTACTATATAGAGATTCAAATTTTAATGTCACCTCTGAACCTCATGTGCCTATTTTAAGAAATATATAAATGAATATGTATTGAAATATATGACATACGCTGTAGATGAGAATATATACAATGAAAACATTCACCAAGACAGTAGTTAGAATCCACTTTCCAAAAGGAAAGAGGTGCAGCTAGAATAATGCTAGCGTGAGGACCCTGGGATAAATATCATTGTAGAAAGGGTTTTATATTGTAAAATTCTGCATTTAGCAATCACTTGTAAATCTTGTCTGAATGTGTGTTCGTGGTTATACTTGTATTGAGTGTACATTTGGTAATAGATTTAGCAAGTAGGCTAGTTGAAAATTTTCTCTCAGAACTTTTATTTGTGTGTTTGATTAAATGAACACTTTCATAGAAATTGTCTGATTTCCTTGAAAAAAAGTTTAAATGGAAATCTGAAAACCTGAAAAACAAAATATTTTCAAGAGCTTTTTTTGGTTTAGGACTGACCTCTTTTTGATGTTTAGCCAAAATTTGTGATGGTAGGGGGAGGGTCCAATTTTTTATTTTTCCAGCAGTTTTCAATAAGTTCTAGTACCAAGTATTGTGTAAGTCAGGGCTGTGTGAATAACTGGGTTGTTTGTTTTTTTCATCAACAGTTCCAAAAAACTGGTGGGGAGTGTGTCAATTTGGGTTGACCTGAAACATTTTTTAAAACCTTTTTGGGGAACCAAAATGTCAGAAAAATTAGGTTTGGATTGAACTAAACATTTTGTTACACCTCAAATGAAATGTTTGCTTTTGATTTCAAACCTTTTTTACTTTTTTTTTTAATAAAAAGGAAGGACATTTTGAAATAAAAAGTTGGCTTGAATTGAAAAATAAAAAGGTTTCACTCTGAAAATGTCAAAACAAAATGTTTTGATTTATTTTTCAGAATTTGTTTTTTTAATGAAATAATTCAGTGAATTTAACATGAATTTGCAAAATGTTTCAGCTGACCCAGAAAAAGTTTCAGTTTAAAAATTGTGCCCATTGAATGGAAGTGTAGGAACGGCGGCTACCTCTTTAAGAGGGTGAGGCACTTTTGCTGCTGATGAGAAACCCAACCTGCCTCCATCTCTAGCACTGGGAAGCTCCAGCCTGTAGGAAGCTCCGTTAAAAGAACAGTCAGAACTCAAGTAATAAAATTATCATTCAAGGGCCAGATTTTCAAATGGTCTCAGCCCCTCGCACCTCCCAGTGTGAAATCTGTGAAAAAATCTCCATGAGAAACAAAATCTCTTCCTTGAAGGTGTGACGTTAAGCCACTTCCCAGCATATAAACTGTACTAAGTGAATTATAGCTGAGATAAAGGGATGAATGGGAAAAGAAGGGTAACAGCAAAGGAGCAAGGTTAACAAGA